TTTCCGTCGCGGTTGTGTGACCAAATGCACGACTCTCCGAAGATTTCTGTTCCAACTCGCGATCGAATCGAGATAGCCTCTTTGTGAACTTATCGAGTGTTTAAAATAAAGTGAATCACTAAACTCTAACGAGTCAGTTAATCATCGAATTCGCCTCCCTTTCCTCACTTCACCGGACCTCGAGCGAGGTCGATCCAGCAATCATAATTTATTCAGCGAATTGGAAAGAATTCGCTACATAAACAAACATATGAGTTTCGCGATTCTCACCCTTGTATTTGCTCTGTAGTTGAACCGGAGTTTTTTTTAAATATCACCTATTTTAAATATCACCTATTTTCTCATTTACTTTTTAATTCTTGCAACAGTTTCAAACAAAAGTTATATGGTTCGATAGAGGACATAAGAAGGTATCATTGATTTGAAAATACTAGAAAATGCAGTATTAAAAAATTAATTAAAAAATTCTGAAAAATTTCTCAGAGTTTTATGAGAAGAAAATAAATAATTTTTATCTCTTGTTATTTTTCGGTAAATTGATATAATTTGAGTAAAAAATTATTGAAACCAATAATTTTGTAGATATTTCCGTAAATATCTTAGAAAGTAGAGGTCGTATAAAATATTGTAAACAAAAATTGTTTGTTTCTTTACGTAAAATAAAATTCCGCAATAAAAAAAATATATGTTTCTATTTAAAAAAGCAAAGTTGACCTCGAACTGACTTTGGCGGCGCAACTCAAGGTCAAACCAATGGTACCTTCTTATGTTTTCTATCGATCCATATAACTTTTGTTTGAAACATTTTTCCGTATCTTCCATATTTGTCGAGATTTTTGCCTGGGGGATTTAAAATGGGATACCCTGGGTGCGTTCGGAAAGACGCTATTAACATTATTTAGCGCTAAAAGCCGTTCGCAAAGCTACAAGATAGCTCTAACAAACTCTATCATGACGTCACTGGTGGTAGCGTTTTACGTCATAACTGTGCGCTATCAACGCTATTCCTTCCGAGGTAGTATGATGGTAGCGTTAGAATTTGCAAGCTTTGTGAACGCTCAGAGCTGCGTATCGCTATATAAATATTGAAACATAACATAACATTTTCCCACACAGTACCCAGATGGCACACTTGTTTAAAAGAAGAAAAGAATTCAGAATAAAAAGCTCCTCATAAGCTTTTTTAAATAAATTATTTAGTGTTAAAAATGAGCTCATTTTTCTTATGAAAAATGAAACTAAAATGAAATTAATTAAGAACTCTTCAGGGGCTTTTTATTTGTATAATGATATTACCTAATGTTGCCTGAAGTTCGGAATGTTACACGTATGCGACACGTATGCTTTTGTGCACCATGTTAGACTGAAGTCCCATGGCATGTATTTTCCGCATAGCGCGTAACTAATAAATTGCGACATTTAGTATTTCTGTTGGAACTTCTAAAAGAATAGAAAGATGTGATTGATTACGCGGTTATGCGTTACGCGAAAATACGTGCCATGGAATTCCACCCTTACTAAAAGCCGCACACACATTGGGGTCTGTTTTCTACACAGAAAAAAAGATTTGCTAATATATGGACAACTAAAAATATTAGCTGCAGAAACAAATTTTCTTGCTTTCATAACAAAGTTATTTAGTTGTAATAACTAAAATATTTGCTAATATATATATATTAGTTAATCTTTTAGCTATCATAACTAAATAACTTTGCTATCTCTTATAGAAATATCATACTACGAATCATTGATAATTACTTATTTTCAGTATTAAAAATACTGGATAATAAGTAATTATCAATGATTCTTAGTATGATATTTCTATAAGGGATGAAAGCAAGAAAATTTGCTCCTGCAGCTAATATTTTTAGTTGTCCATATATTAGCAAATCTTTTTTTCCGTGTATTGCTGAACTGTCTGCACTAGTTCTCTCTTATCTTTCTTTCACTAAGAAGCCCCCTAGTCACATAGCTAGAGACAGGCACTTTGTTTTTAATATTCCGGAAACTATAGGAAATGCGCAAGTAGCTACTGAGCATAACATCTCGCTATTTGTCGTCGATGTGACAGTTTTCCTAACCTTAATAGTGATCAACTTTGTTAACTAATATCTCGCTTCGCAGTAGAGAACGACGATTTTGTCAAATAGAAAAGTTGTTTCTCGTGCAAAAACGCGTTGATTGAGCCTACTTTAATCGAAATCGGAGATGAGGGGCCTAAACTGAATAATTACCATAAATATAAATACAATATTTATTTTCTTAAGATTCCGATCCTGTATCTTGCGATTATTTATTATTACAGAATAATGTCTCACCTAAGTCGAAAACGATTTTGCAATTTGTCAGATAGATTTATAGACGTTTTCCACTGACGTATATACCAGAGAGAAGAAGGAGAGGAATCATGGACCGGTTTTAGTTGATTTTAGCTGAGAGACTTTTAAATAGTGACTGACCATATGGGCAAATATGGCCCACAAAATGGCGGCCACAAATATGCTTTTGCATTGATCTGTACTTTTTCGCTGCACTGTTGCACTAGTGCAATAAGTAATGTGAAACAAGTATATTTTTTCTCACTTTTATATATTGGTGCCGCCATTTTGTGGGCACTCATCCCGTGCACTAAACACGCAAAACCCCCGAATGGCCAGTCTCTATTAAAAGGGTTCTAAACTGAAATAGAGTCCCTATACACAGAATCTGGCCTACGGACTTAAAGGACAGTAAGTAAGCTTAGTTTGTGGGCGAGGAAAATGAAGTCGAGGTGGGAAAGGAGATGCAGTCTTCAGCCATCTTGCTTGGCGCCATTATTGCTGCCATCTATCGTCATTTCAACGTATTATATGTTAGTTTTATATGATAAAGGAACACACACAAAAATAGAAAAAATATATATTGTTTATAATTTTACTATTTTGCAAATAAAATCAATTGATTAAAATAATGTCTTTTACTTATAATATTAGTTGCTTTTCTAATATAAAAGAAACGTGTTATAATATATTTTAATACAATATTTTTATTAATTGCACTCTTTGTACCCTTATAGAAATATCATACTAAGAATCATTGATAATTACTTATTTTCAGTATTAAAAATACTGGATAATAAGTAATTATCAATAATTCTTAGTATGATATTTCTATAAGGGTAGCCACTGAAATAGGCCATATAGCACTTACAGGTAAATATACGTTGGTCTTAAATATAAGATTTACCTATGAATATTGGCCAAAGAAATGTAATATTATATTATAAA